CGCAGCTGTGCCTTTGCGTTAATAGATGGCAGCAGGTTAGCGCGGTTCCAACAAAGTGCGAGGGAGTGGGCTATCTATACTTGTCTTTATCTATGCATTGCACGAGAGTGAGCAGGCCCTGGCTGACTGTTTGCGTTTGCCTCATTTGTTTAGGAATTGACAGAGAGCGACAAGCGGAGCAAGTTCTCATTCAAGTCGATCAAAACCAGCAATCATCAGCCCTTCATACCAAACAACCAAGCCTCGATACCATCCAGTCGGCATAAACGGCACGCTGATATAATGGTTCCGAAGCCGAGCAGCATTGATCGGAAGCCCCGAACTCTCAGATCGATTGGAACAAGCGTTGTAAGTAGGATCCTGGTAGTTTTGCTGGTACATTTGTGTGTCACCTAACTTGCCTAGTATCATTGTGGAGCTGATGTTAGCGATATTGGGCTACTTGCTCCTCAAGCTAAGTCGGTCGATAGACCGGAGAATGTTGCCAAGACATTCCATTTTTATAGCTCTAAGCTTCTCAGCGTGCGTCCTGATCAATTCCTTATATTTTGCTAAGTTCTTATTGGCTAAGTGCGCCAGCGTTCCTTTGGTACAATTTGGCTTCTTTATGGTTTTTGGTAGTTTTTGCCGCTCTTCATTAACTAGCAAAGACGACAAACACTCTAAGCCTTCTCTATTACTACCTGTATATTTTCCGCTGATTCTAGTTGTTTCGTATGTTCATTTCATGGTCGCACCGAACTTGTCCATTTACGAACTAGACATTCTAACATGCATTATTTTGAAAGTAGCAATAGCTAAAAGCAGCCCTTTTTAACACAATTGGTTGCTGTATTAACCCTTTGCATTCAAGTGTCTAGTGAAATCTCTCTCAAACATCTTCCAGTCCAAAGGGTTAGTATTGACTCAAAAAAGGATGAAAATGCACTCGTTTTTGGCCTTTTTTAATTATCTGTTCAACTATGTGCTTGCTCAAACGAGTCTTAAGAAATGAGCAAAAGGCCGGCCT